TTTGTCACAGGACAAAAAATATTTGAGTGAGTAAAGATTTGTAATATATACCACAGTAGGTACTTGTATTATTTCTTACTAAATATTATTTATTGTGTTATTTTCCAGACAAATATCAGTCTCAATTTGGTAGTGGTAATCAGTATGCGTATTATCACGAAGAAGATGAAAACACATTCCACTTGGTGGACACGTCTCGTGTACAAAAACCTCCTTACCAGCGGGGTCGTCATTTTCGTCAAGGTGGTCGTATGTTGCGTGGTCAAGGTGGTCGTGGTGGTATTTCACGTTTACCTGGTGGTTCCAGTCAATTCCAATCTCTTGGAAAATTGAACAAACTTCAAAGGTATTATAACAAAATATAAGTTATAAGTATATTAAATGTAAATTTATTTACTTGAAAAAAGATTCAATAATACTACTTTAAGGCATTAGGTATTATTATTTAGAATCTATATGGCTAACTCATAATATTATAAAAATTAAAACATACTTAATTATAAATAAAAGTAGTTAAATTTCATTCATATTATAAAATGAGAATGCCGGCTATTTAAATTAAAGTAAACAAATAATCTAAAATAAATACAATTAAAACTAAATTTTTTTTTTTATTGAACTTAAGCCCAGCAACTAGGGCTATTAGCTGTTGTAGGGGTTATAAACTGGTAGGGGGTAAGGTTGGTATGGTAGGTTGTTTTTTACGATTGTTACAATTGATAACAAACACGAGTATGCGTGGCAAGGTTTTTAACCACTATGATCCCGAGTGGTCACCCATCCGGGAGCTAGTAGCTGTGGCTGTTACTTACTCTCAGTTGCATTCCGCGACTGGTAGCAACCAACACCCCACGCCAAGCCTAAAACTAAATTTATTTTACACTTTTTTTTTTTTTTTTATTATAGCTTCAAGTTTACAACTAATATAGCTCAACAATTATATAATTATTTTACACTTAAAAAAACGTTAATGCATATTATGAATACCAATAAAAATACATTAAAATATTGCATTAGAATTAGTTAAATATTAAAAATATTTTTTAAATTTTTTACTGTTATCTAAATTTATAGTTTTAATTGTAATATAATTAATCTATTTTCCATTAATAAAAACTGTTGTTTTTTAGGGATCGAAAAAATCCAAATGCACGTAGAGGTTGGAATAATAAACAAGGTGGTCGATCCAATAAAAATAACATGCAAATGAAGAGTCGAGATGCCTCAGTTACTGTAAGAGCTGATTGGAATACTATTGAAGAGATGGATTTCGTTAGATTTTCAAAATTATCTTTGCCCACTGTTAAAGAGCCAGAAGATCTGTAAGTGTAACAAAAATTGATCATTGCTAACTTTTTTTTATTCTTTTTATAACTCAATTTTAGTATATGTTGTGGCTCCTTGGAATATTATGATAAATCATATGACCGAATTAATGTTAAAAACGAAAAGCCATTACAACGTGTTGATAGACTTTTCCATACTGTTACTACTACTGATGATCCGATTATAAGAAAAGTAAGTAGACACTAATTAATATACTTACTAAGATTATTGAAAATTTGTCAGAATAATATTTTTTATCTTTGTATATCATAATTCCTAATAGTTTTCTGTCAATTTCTGAGTTCATTCAGGCCTATTAACTTTTTAATTTGTCAGTAATTTTTTACTTCTAATATGTATATCTTTGTTTTATTTTAAAATTTTATTGATATTGTCCTGTATCAATATTTTAAGTATTTTATCATATTACTTTTAACAAATTTAGTGCTATATACTTTAAACATTATAATAGTTCAGTATACCTTAAATTAAATTATAGCATAGAGATACTATTAAAATTAGGAAATTCATTAAATCTATTTTTTAAGAAAACATTTTATTTTATTGCCATATTTTTATTATTGTATCAAAATTTATAACTAATAGGTATAAAAAAATGTTTATAGTTGGTGAAAACCGTGGGTAATGTTTATGCTACAGATGCTATATTAGCATGCTTAATGTGTTGTACTCGATCTAACTACAGTTGGGACATAGTTATTGAAAAAGTTGGTGATAAATTGTTCTTTGACAAGAGAGATAATACTGAATTTGGTAAGCATTTTTTTTTCTCATAAATACATACAATTGACTGTGTTTCTAGTGTTGTAATATAATTATTTACTTGGTTTTTTAGATTTACTTACTGTCAATGAAACAGCAGTAGAACCTCCATCAGAAGAAGCAAATAGCTTGAATTCGCCAAGGAACTTGGCATTAGAAGCTACTTTTATCAACCATAATTTTTCACAACAAGTATTGAAAACTGTAAGTTTTAAATTGATTTACTTGAATAATTTATATAAAAAAAAGTATTTTTATACGGTTATTAAATATTTAAGGGAGAAGCAAGATACAAGTTTGACGAACCCAATCCATTTGTGTCAGATGATGAAACCGATGGAGAAGTAGCATCTGTTGCTTATCGATACCGTAAGTGGGATTTGGATAATGGAATTGTATTGGTTGCTAGATGTGAGCATGACTCGGTGCTACAAGTACCAAATGGAGATTTGCAATTTTTGACTATTAAAGCACTTAATGAATGGGACTCAAAAGTAAGATAATAATAATTTTTTTTTAATATTAAACACAATAAAATATGTTTTTATATTTGTTAAAATAGTTGTCTGGTGGAGTAGATTGGCGTCACAAGTTAGATGTACAACGTGGAGGAGTTTTGGCTACAGAATTACGAAATAATGCTTGTAAATTAGCTAAATGGACAGTACAAGCTTTGCTTGCTGGTTCTGATTACATCAAGTTTGGGTATGTTAGTCGTGTACAAGTGCGTGATTCGTCAAAACATGTTATATTAGGCACACAACAATACAAACCTACTGAGTTTGCGACTCAAATAAATCTGAACATGGATAATGCATGGGGAATTCTACGATGCATCATAGATTTGTGCATGAAGCAAAAGGATGGCAAATATCTCATTATGAAAGACCCGAACAAGGTTTCTATTCTTTATTTTAATATTAAATCTCTTGTAATACTATTTACTATTTTATAATTATTTTTTTATTAACAGCCACTCATTCGTTTGTATGACATTCCTGATAACACATTTGATTCAGACAATGATGAGAATGAAGATGAAGAAAGTGGTAAGAATAATTTTTTTAAATATTTAAAATCAAAAACATATAATATATTTTATATTTATATTTTTTAAGTTAAAAAGTATTATAATTTATTAGATGGATTTAATTTAACACATTGTTTGGAATCCTTTTTTATATTTATGATTTTATTCCAAATACTTATTACATGATTTCATTGTTAAATATTTACATTTTATTAAAACATATTTTGTTTTTATTTTAGGTGAAAAATCTACGATACCAGCTGAACTTCTTCCACCAAATCCATGAAAGAAATTTGAAATTTAATTTTTAAAATTTCATTAAAAATTTAAGTTACAGTTTTATATTCTTTTTAGTCTAAATAATTTATTAATTTGTAAACATAATCAATATTTATTATGTTTAGAAATCGCTAAATTATGATTTATATTTCATTCAACAATAGTTAAAAATTTATTCAAATATTGATTTGTTTTTTATCAATTAAAACATTAAATTAAAAATCACTCGTTTTTAGAGAATATTAATTAAATGTACCATTGGTTTGATAAAATTTGAATTAAATTAAAAATAAATAACTAAAAAGTCATTTGGTATGTATAAATAATATCTATAGATATACAATTTTAAAATTACAAAGTATCTAGTTATTTTAAATCCCAATGTAAACCATTATAACTTCGAGGAGCATTTTTTTTATCATAGTTTCATGTATTAAAAAAAAGCTATACTTCCATCGTGTGCCTTGTCTCTGTCTAACATACCAATTTTGTGTTAGTTTTACTATTAATATATTATATTATCCAACTTCAATGTCTGCTTGTACATTGGTTTTTATGATATTTTTAAGTGAGTTATGATAATTTTTAAATTATTATATTGTACATATTCATAACTTGTTTAAAAATTAAGGCTTGTGGCCTTAGAAAGACATGTACTAATTTAGTTTTTAGATTCTGATAGAACCAATGAATGCTTTTGTAATTTTCTGGTAACAAGTTGATCTAATCAGTAATTCGAGGAAAAAAAATTAAAATATCCATTAGTTTTCAAAACAATTTAATAGTTATGAGAATTTTTATGCAAAACAAGTTTTTAACAAAATATTTTGAAGTTTTTATAACATATTCTTAAAATTTAAAGTCATATTTTTTAATTTCATGAAATTTGTTGAATTTATAGTGTATTTCATTTTAATACTCGAGGCTAGAAAAAAAAAATTAATATAGGTTTCCTATCAAAATTTTATTTTAGTTTTAAAAAGTATATTGTAAGTAAATGACCATCTTATAAATTCTTAAATAATTTTTGTTATTTTACTGTAGTTTAAAAAATACCGATTGAAGAAACTTAAAATTTTTCGCTAAAATACTATTTAATATTTACTTAAACTAAAATTTCGCCTTTAAAGCTAGATATTTTTATTTTATATAGATTGTACAACATTCACCAATAAATTTCAGAGTTATTTAAAAATTAGTTTAACATACATATTATTTATAGAAAAATATCTTTGAAAATAACGCTAACGCATCAGTAACAATAATTTTTCGTATTTAAAATTTAACACATCTACTACAGAAACATACAATGACAAGGCGCTTAAATCTATTGTACACCATATAACAGTGCGACTTACCGGATTGTTTTTTTTATATAATTATTAATTATTATACAACCGGTCTGATATTCCGATTTCGTGGAAAAGTGTTGTTATTAAGGTTATTTTGTTCGCTCGATTACACGATTGAGTATCGACACCACATCGCAGTGCCGAGGGTCTCAAAATATAATTATAATATATAATATTTATATAAACAAAACATAGTATATACAAAGTGCATTTCAATAATGGTGGATGAACTATCGGCTACAGTACGTGTCGATTTTTCCAATGACGTACTTAATCTTTTCAATAGCCATATCCACTTCTTCGTCGGTAATGTTCTTGTGCGTCACGAATCTCACTCTTGTGTCGTTTATCTGCGCAATCCTCACGGCCGTCGACCGTATCTTGTTGTTCGACTGACTGTCGCATTCATCAGGGTCTATCTGTGAAACAGATATTAAACGATGTTAGTATGTTACCTTAAACCAATGCTATTGACGAAGTACATAAAATATTATATGCTATGAAAATGATAAAAATCTTTTTCAATAATGATATGCTATTATTCTAAGAATATATTTTTCTTTTGAGATATCGAATTAGTATAATATCTAAGGATTAAAATTGTTAGCGGTCGCGGTGGTTTTTTAAAGAGAAGGGAAAACTGTTTAATTTATGATAGTAAATTCTAAGAAAAGTAGATTGACTTTCAATTCACGATCGATCGCTTCATGGCTTTGGTGACAGGGGTACCTATCTCTAAGTGGCAACGGAGGACGCAGTCATCTTCCCCTACATGGTTTTACCACGTATCGCATTTAAAAAAATGTTTTTAATTTTCACGATTGTTAATTTTTCTTATTAAAAATATGTGGGTGCGATTTTTTTTTCGTAGGCGTTTGAAGTTAAAAATATTGATAAAATTTGTCAATATCACGAAAACATGCAAATTATTTTGTAGTTAAAAATGTACAAAATATTCGTTTTGTATGAATAAGGTTTGACAATTTAATGTGAATATCCTCACAAGTATAGTTTTTACTGGAGTACATAAATCTTGAAAATATATAAGCAAAATGGATACTTAATTGTAGAATAAGTGAATAATTATAATTCAAAAATATTATAAGTGGACACTTGAAACTTTCACGTACCTATATTTTTATACTAATCTACAATAATTAATTTATTAAAACATTAAAATTTATTTTATGCTAGGTATGGTTTATTTATGTCAATCGTATACAAATCGTTCTACATATACATACGGGTATATGTTAAGATTGATTAGATCGTAATGACAAAGAGGGAGAGTATTTTTTCACTCAGTTTTAATTTTGACACTTTTTTGTTTTCGTCCTTGTTATTGTAGGATTTGAATTATTTTATCGTGTTTAATAAAGTATATTTAGATTTGCGAACCGTGGTCCGCGAGTGATGTTGTATTTTTTAACGTATACATACAATATAATATATTGTCAAAGGCAGCGATGGTGATACTTTTTAAAATAAACTGATTTCACTATACCTTTATCAGCTCGGAAACAAAGTATTTAGCGTCGACTACAGTTGAGTTAATGTTCACCAAAAGTATGTTTGTGTTGAATGCGTCTGGGTTGACGGTCACGTATGGACTTGCTGTCTTTTGGATTGCTGCATGTAATTATAACAATAAATAAATAATAAAAATTAATCATAATCAATCAGTAGGTAGCGCGATTTCAATTAGTAATGGATCGGGCAAATGTTTTGAACGGTTTAAATTTGCAATTAAAAAAAAAAATTGATCGCTACACTCGCAACCACGTTTTTATCAAACTACTCTTGCCATCTTGTATATTTTTTAATTTACATGATTTATCTCTAATCTTTACGACGAAATATTTTTCATTAACTTACAATATCATTTAAAAATGCAGTTTAGCAAATATTATATTTTAATTTAAAATAAAAATTTACGATTAAATAACAAAAACGTCTTTAAGCTATTCGTGGACAGCTTTTTGTTTTTATTTTTAAAAATATATCCACTGCAGATTAAATTTAATCAATTATGATTTATGTGATTAAACCTCATGATTATTTATATTACTAATATTACTTAATATTATAATTATTGTTATACAATATTATATATTATAATATAATCCTTTTCTTTCACACCACTCACACACACATACGTAAATACACATAGTTGAATCCAGAAAATTTCTCTGGGGGAGGCTCACTTTTTTTCACGAGTATTGTGTACCTATTTAATAAATGGGTACATTTTGTTGAAAGTCGGGGCATTAGCCCCCTCCCCCCCTGAAGTGTACCTGGATTCAACATTGCATACACACGCATATACTAATTTAAATGCACGTTTTCATAAGTTTACACTCAGTTAGTCTGCCCAGTGAGAGAACACGGGCCACTGCAATTCAGCACATCTGCGCTCGATATCTCGCCATAACGGAACCCGTCTCGGTGCCAGGATGTCGCATGGGCACACTCAGATTTCAGAAAAACCGATTTTTGTCGGGCTGCTGCATAGTCTTTCGGTGGACTAGATAAATATTAAATATACCTACATTCAATTAATCCAACTATTAATTATTAATAAGTAGTTACCGATTTGTCATCGTGATAATAATTTTTATTCTCGGTACACAATATAACAATATATATATATATATTATTTTGAGGAATTATTACAAAAATAGGCATATTTTTTTTTTACCAATAATGGTTAGGTCGATAAACGACCCGGCATCGGTTCATCGGACTGCTTTTAAAATCAGATAGGACAGTGCATCCCCCTCACCACCCTGACACCATTATAATCAATTTACAATGCTACAAGTACAAATTCGGTATCTATCAATTCATTATTATGAATTTCAGTTAAATAATCTATTTCTGTGTGGTTCATTATTGTGAGATTCGTGGTGCTTTATCCTAAACATATAACTTAAGGATTTGAGCATGACCCTTATAATGATTTGTGTCAATGAGAAAATCAAATGTTTAATAATATTGTAGTCTGCATTTGACTTTTACCGCGGTGTGCTGACTTGAGGTCGAAGCAGTCAATTTTAAAATAACTCAAAAAGCTAAAATCCCTTATAAATATTTTAACATTGATGTAACACGATAGATTTAGAAATGCTTTTTTTTTTGACTATTCAAAATTACCATTGGTTAAAATGGTTTTTATCTCCGTATACTCAGACTCTAATGGTCTTTTTTTACAAATATTAAGGAAAGTATTATGCATTTTTATTATTTTTTTCATGTAAACTCAAAGACTTTTGAACGGCTTTAACTTTCTTAAGCCCTCGATTTCCAAGATTAAGTATATATACTTAATAATATATATATATATATATATATGTAATATATGTAATATGACATATGATATTTTAATTGATGTGATCATATTTTGTACCGTAAGCGATTTTCTTAGCGTTTCTATGATCGTCAGCCAGCCTTTCCACGCAATTATCCAACGCGTACAGTCCCGCCGCAGCCACGATCCCAGCTTGCCGCATGGCACCGCCCAAAACTTTTCTCAATCTTCTAGCCCTGTAAGCAGAAATTAATATTTTAGTAGTTGCTATCATTACCATTTTACCTTTGGTACCTACATGTTATAATTACATAAGACATAAGTAATTTATGAAACTATACATATAAGATAATATCTATTTTTCTATAGATTTAAATTTTTATACAGGTATGCCATAGCATCTAATTAGTATTAAAGTGATAAAAATACATCAATTTTTAATTTTTTTCCCTCAACTTAAGAATATATATATATTTTTTTGATGTTAAGTAGAAAACCAATTTTAATTGTTGCTATATTTTCAATATTTTACTACGTATTACTGTATTAGTTATAAGTACAATATATTTATTAGATGTATTGTTTATAATTACTTTTCAATGAATGGTTTTTCACCAATTAAAATGGAACCAATTGGGGCACCAAGGCCTTTGCTCAAGCAAAACGTCACGGAATCGCAATGCTTCACTATTCGGCTGACTGGAACTCCTAGACTCACAGCTGCGTTAAACACTCTAGCTCCGTCCATATGCAAGGGTATGTTTCGTTCTTTGGTGAGTTTTCCCAACTTAAAGTTTATTAATTACACACGTATTAAGTTTTATATTATTACAATCTAAAATTATTATATTTTACATTACTATATATTGTTATATTTTATTCATATATTAATGTAATTGTAAGATACCTATCGCCTGTCAGTGTTTTTTTAATAAATAAAGTATAAGGTAGCAAACTGAATAAAATTGTCCTTCGAGATTGTGTTCAGTTTTTATGTTTAAAAAATAAATGTCGTAATCGCGAAATTCATTGAAAATAACTAATTTTTAGGACTTAGATATCATATTTTTGCATAGCTATTGTAATTTGTACACCTGCATACAAATGTAAAGGTATGATAAATTAGAATTTCCTATAGGTAAGTACAACAAAGATAAGAAAATGTATTATTTTGAATATTGACGAGAATTGTTTTTGATTCTTAGTTATGAAACACCATTAACCATAAAATTATGAAAATGTAATTATTTCCGAACTATGAATTCTCTATCATTATAATGATTATTTACTAAATATTTAAACTGTATAAATAATAAAAAACGCAATTATCAGTTATCTGCACATAACGAAAATTAATTAAAATCAATAGTCATCAATTATATTGATGAATTAATAATTACGATAGTGAACATTATTTTAATTTACACGTAATTTATACAGCAATTATAAGTACCTACTTATTTAGAAAGTTAAGCGATATTGAAAAAATACACACATATATATATATATATATATAGGGCCAAACAATTGATTTACTAAAAATAATTTTAGTTAAAGAGTTAGTTAGAACTGTTAGTAGTAATATGTAAAATATAAATATGTTATAGGTACCTATAACAAAAGTATTAAAATAGTATTAAAAATAATAATACATTAAATCATTATTGCATTATATATTTATTACCTGATCAATCCATTCAATAGGCAATACAGTACCGCCACAGTAGTTGTGAGTGTTTTCAATACAAACTAGTTTAGTATAAGGTTCGTGAGGGTCTGGGAACTCCGGTCTTATTTTTCCAAGTAACTCTGTCATATCCAGTGTACCATCCTCCAAATTCTTAACTTCTCGCATTTGCAATCCGGCAATCTGTTAAAATTAACAATGAATATTTTTATTTTCATTTTTTTGTTCTAGAAAAATACTAAATATAACGTTATGCTTTTTTTATTGAAACTGCATGAACAATTAATTTTCAAACAAATCAAATTTAAATATCAAAATTATTTTCCGTTTACAATTTAAATAGCTTTTGAGTATGGCTCAGTCTGTTTAATTCATAGAATTTTTCATGTCATTTTCTCCTAACTAAAAAAAAAGATACTCCATCTCATAATTTATGAGTTTTTTTTATATATCTTATGTCTTTGATAGAGTTTACTCGACAGTTTGTTAAATAAGCTTCGGATGTATTTATCCTAACTTCACGTTAAAACACGGTTACATTACCTATTGTTCAAATGTGTTTATTAATAATATTATAATCTAACTTGTGACACTGTCAGATATATTTAGAACTACAAACATCTCCGTCATCTAAATAAATGACTGACTGCAACTCTGTCAAGCAATTCTCACCAAAGTTTAAAAAAGAATAGAAGATAAGATTGTGTCAATTGTGACCGCCTTGAGTATATACAATATATACATATACAGATATGTACTCAAAACCTTAAGTAACACTAATAGATCGCTTTTTTAATTAAATATTCACGACTCTCAAATCATTATTTCAATATGTTTATAATATTGTTAATTATTAATGTATAGACTATAGATGATATATTTTTTATTTTCTTGATTAAAAATATATTCATGTTAAAATACTCAAATACAAAATAGTATGTATTATAACCTGTGAAGCTCCACCTTGTTCCCACAGCAAAATATGACTTTTATGACCGACTATTACTTCACCTCCACGTTGGTTTGAATGACTCATCACTGAAAATTATTGTCATAATTAATTTAAAAAATATATTAAAATATAAATTATAATATTATGAATCAAATAATAAACTTTCAAGTAATATAAATACTTAAAGCTATTTGTTTCATAAATCGAAAAAAATGAATGGATAACTTTCATTTAACTAATTTTAGTATTAAATTTCATAAGCCAGAGGTCGGGAATCTGCGTCTCCTTAATATACAATCTATGACTCTTTGGAAAATGCATCAATATCAAGACCCGTAAAATTTTAATTAAAATTTGATAATAATTTTTTTTTCAGATTACGATATAATTTATTACTTAAATTTTATTTTTATTTGTATTCTATAGTGATGATATTCTGAATTTTTTAGTAACGATTTTTATTTCAGGTAAAAATAAAATAATATTTTATCTATAATGACTCCAAAAAAGAAATAAAGTTTTCACATATGGCTCTCTGGACATCATGGTCTTATAACTTTTAAAAAAAATGGCCCTTTCCTATGAAAAGGTTCTTGATTTCTTTCATAAACTCTTCCAAAGCATTTGGAAATTTCAAAAGTAGTGAATATATATTTTAGTATTACACATTAAAATACTTCGATTTGAATTTAAGTATAAAAATTGAATTAAGCCAGTGTTTAAATTTGAATAACCTTTAAACTAATATAATGTATATTGATAAATTAAGTTTAAGAGAAATTATAAATTAAAATAATTAACGACTTATAACAGGTGTTATAAGTAGTTATATCCGTTATATTATAAACATTGATTATGGATATACACATTGAATAATTTATAATATAGTTTAAATGTATTACGTTTATCTATATAATATATTTAATATTGGTTAATTAGCTCATTAACAAACTAATCGATTAAAAAAAAGATAATAAGTTCAAACGTACCTTTATAGATAATTAAATAATTTGTAATTAAATGTTTATCGATTTCACATCTAGTTAAATTTTGGTAAAAAACAACAAGCCTTTAATAATTGAATTAAATAATAATGCATGTTTTTCAAATGTTGTAGAAGATGAATGATATTGTTGTGTTAAATAAAAATAAAAATTTATTTTGAAATATATATTTTGGCATTTTCATTTCTTAAATTTCAACCCAATTTACTTTCTATCAATGAAACTGCTGCTTACTATTACAAACGCTTCCACGTCAAACTATTTGTTTATCCCAACCAACTAATTGACGAATTATCATCACTTCTCAGTAATCAAACCAAATATCTCAAAAGGAACTGGTATTGCGACTTAATTACTTATTATTAATTTCTTTTTCTTGTCTAAATTTAAAAGCTATACTAAAACTATGTTTAATTACTTGCAATCAAATTTCCCATGAGTCCGCTTGGTAAAAATATTGCCGCTTCCTTTTCAAACAGTTTTGACGATTTTTCTTCCAAAACTAAAATAATTAAAGAAAACTAAAATTAGTTAAACAATATAGCATAGAAGTGACATAACAATAGAAAATATTTTATAGGTGATGGGGAGGGGCTTATGAGGAACATTTCTATGTTTTTTTATAATAAATTATAAATTCATATTTTATCTTGAAATTTGTGGCAAGTAATTCATAAAATATATAGTGGCCTTTTCTTAATTATTTCAATGGCACTTAATTGAATTAAAACATTAATGATTCAAATTATAAAGGTCAGATAAAATACACGATATAACAGTAGTACAACTAATAGTTTATTTTTAATATTTACATAATATGTAGGTACTTAATATGAAAGGGATATACTTTTAGGTAGATGATTTATAAACTTGACAATTTTGGTATTTGTTTTGAAAAATTATTAAATTGCTTATTTGATTATTTTATACCTAGGTGTAGACATTTGCAACGCTATTTTATCAAGTGATTTTGAAGATTTAATTTATGAAACATTCAAACATAGTTCAAATATATTTACCTATTTAATTAATTCTACAGTTAAAAGTATTATAAATTTAAATAGTAACGTAATTTATCAAAAAAAAAAAAAAAAATAATAATAATTATAGATAATTGATCTCTGTTCTATATTGTCATAGATGATACTCAGATTTAAGTTTAAAATCTTACGATTAATGGTGGGATCCTCGCCGTAACCGTCGTCGCCGACTTCGGCGTCGAACATTGCTTGACGCATATGGACATCAGGTTTTGTTACTGTGTCGCTTCTCAAGTCAATCACTTCACTCTGCTGCAAATTATTGTCGGACGGCACCAGCTTTAAAGTTTTGAACGAGTACATATTATTATTTTTTGATTATTATTAAAATTAAAATTTTCTGGTACAGTAAATTTTATTTTCAGTTAAAATTATCAACTGCGTCAGGTATTGTGTTAACTTATCTATTTATACAACGAAAAACGTGTTCCTTATCGTTTTTATATATTCATAGGCGTGTCTAGACCTTTTTCGTAGGTCGTACACAAGCGTTATAATATTAAGTTAACATTATATGAATGTAAAATCAAGTGAGAATAAGGAGTTTGATCCCAAAATATTGTAAAAAACTTATCATTATCTGTCTTATTATGAGTACAGAAATATGACTAATAAATAAAAATGAAAAAAAAAAACAATAGTTAATAAATTAAAGGAACTGAAATATTATTGATATCACATTTACTACTCACGTTTCGTCAAATTTCGGAGGTTGTATATTATGTGCATGAAAAGCACGACCTGTATACATGCTTATATTTATTATTTTTATCACGCTATATACACTTTTATTCACGTGAACATTAAATGTTAGTGAAATTTTCATTAATTGTAAATTATAAACTTAAAAGTATAACAATGTTCCAAATAAGTTGTTTTTTATTATATCAATATAAACAGCTATAATATTTTTTATATATTTTTTTATCTCAATCGTGATTATATGATGAAATAATTATATTATATTATGGAAGCTAAAAGATTTTTTATAGCTCATAATTTATTGCGATTAGAGTCTATAGTTTATACTTTGTAAAAGTAAAATCAATATTATTATAGTGGGTATGTAAACTAAACCTTTAATAATTTTATTGCAGTTTACGTGTTATTTCAAACCCAGATTAAGATTAATCTAACCCCGGGCTAGACAATTAACTAATTTTTAATAATAACAAATAATTAAAAATGTTTTTATCTAACGATTAATCAAAAAATTGTAGTAAATGATAATTAATAAATTATTAATTAATTCTAATTAGTTGATCTATTGATTGACTAATGCTAAGTTAGATATATTTTTTAAAACAAAACATTAAAAGCAATACCATATTTAATCATATTATAAAATAAGTAAGTAATTAGGAGATTTTATGAGTAATTTTGTATTTAAATTTCAATTTACAATATGTTCATAAATTTATTAATTATAAATAAATGTGATGATGTAAAACAAAAAATACATGATTCATAAATTCTCAAATTGGAGGACTCGAATAGAATAGCTATTTAATATATTATTATAATAAATAATTTAGCTAATTAAAGCAACAATTACCAAAAAAATAATATATTTTACCAACCTTTTTATACATTTTTGATTGACTTGACGTATAGATATTTTAGAAATTATTTGTTCCTATAGACAGTAATATATAATAACAATGACTACTAGTTACTTCTGCAGGTTAGGTTGTATTCTCTTTTACTTGCCACTTCTAGAACATAAAAGTTTCAGTAAACTATCATATTATGTATGTATTAATTTGTATATTAACAGTACTACAATAGGTACCTATTTAAAAGTAAATGTATTTAAGACTACGTAAAAATAAAATAATTTAATATTTAAATATTTATATTACTGTTGTTCCAAGAATAATTAAAAAAAAAATAATAACATTTAAGTCTTTATACTAAATATGTAGAAAATAAGCAAAAAGCTTAATAAACTTTAAACAGTTTTAACCTCTAGTTAATTTTTTACATTAACTGTGTTCTAAATTTAAACAGATTTGTATTTGTATTGATCTAATTAAATTACCTACAATTAGGTAGTCATTTTTACACATCAATTACTTATAATAAATAATACTTATAAGTCAATCAACTAACTTTTACATACGAATAATTAAATAGAATATCAATATATATAGATATATATAAAACTTACTTATAAATTATGATAAATTATTACCTTAAATAGTTTTGTTATATGCAGATACTTTGTATTTTTATTGTTATATCTTCTCGTGTACCTATATTTTGTGATTAGTATCGCAAGTCCATTAACAACACATCTTTAGAACTTATAACATTTATAATTGCATCATCATTTACAGATTGTTACGTTGTACCATACGCAAATAGAAGCGATCACATAGCGTCGTTTACGTAATCAGTAATTCAATAAAATATTATTTTAGTTGTAATAAACATGGTTAGAGTTTTGAAAATTATAAAATATCATAATAGAAAATATGTCAAAAAAATATATTTTATTTATAAACTAAGTTAAACAAATTGAATTGAATTATGACAGTATGATTTTACGATTGTCCACGTATCTTACAAATGTATTAGTTTCTATAGACTTCGGTCACTTTAATAAATAATAATCGCTGTATAACATATCATCAATTAAAATAATAGTGGGTATAATTTAATTAAGTTTGACATAAGATTAAGCCGGCTATCAATACGGTTTATGCTTCTATCAATGTGTAAACATATGTTTGCTATTTGTTATTTCATTATGAAGTTAGAACATATAAATCATTAATTACAAATCATAATTTTCCTCTTAAACTGATGCCACATATCCACCATATCTCTGGTTAAATTCGACAACAGTCAGGCTTTTTTATGGATATTTTGTCATTTTTATCGCATAATATAATATACACTTTAAACTTCTAACATTCTATCCTAGATAATAATAGTAGTTTTCTAGAGTATAAATTGTTACTTCTCACTTTGAGAGAATTATAGAGTTGAGCATTATACACTTTCATAAAATATATAACCTATATATTAAAACTAAAAAATAAGGGAACTCGCTCTAGTATATAGTAGGTATCGGTATACCTCGTCATTGACTAGATACCTATACGATGAGAAATGATTACAAGTGGAGATAGTATGTTAGCTTAAAAAATTAATGTACCCCATTGTGTAATTCCTATTCATTTTGTTACATATTATTATAGTTATGTAATAAAAAAATAAATAAAATTACAATTAACTAAACACTAAACAATAATACGTGATGATAAATAAATGTATATTAAATTTTATTCCATCTATTAATAATTGATTAATGTTAAGTTAAAAATATAGTTTTTATTTTCTAAATAAAAGGGTTGTAAGAACTAAAAAGCAATATATCTTAACAAAAAATAAATAATCCGGATTTTACATAAATATATTATTTTTAATCTTACATTTTTTATTGTACAATTTGATCATAAATATATCGAATGATAAAACAGATGATGTTGGATGTGATAATATGAAAGCAAAAATATATTTGATCATAATATGAAAAATTCTCAAATTAAAAAACGCAATAAAATAACTATTCAATACATTTTTATAATAAATAATTTAGTTAATTAAAATAACAATTACTAAAGAAAAATACAGACGTTTTTAGAAACTTACATAGATGGTAATATAGAATATTTACTACCAACTACTCCTGGAAATTAGGTTGCTTTCTCCTATACTTGCCACCTTTAGAACACAGTTACAATAAATACTTCTCTATTAATTATAGAATAAATATAAATTAATCTAATTTTTACTAACGAGTTTTATATAGACAATTTTTGAAATACATAGAAAACTCGCGAAGTTAAAAGTGCATGCATTTTTTACTACTTCAAATTGTAATAAAAAATACGAAAAAATTATAAAATCATAAAAAAATAACAGAATTTAAGAAACACCAATTTTTGAAAAGTAGTTTTGGATTTTGTCGATAAATAAATCCAATAATTTTACAATGTGTGTTTTTTTGGGGGAAGGGAGTTTGCCATTATCCTCATCACCTTTTGGAGCAGTAAAAATACACATATTTACAATTTCATATATTGGTAGCAAAGTTAATTTAGTTAATAGTTAGTACTTTGATAGGTTAAAAGTAAAAAATTTCTAGTTGATACTTTTCTCAATAATTGTAAAAAAAAAAAAAAAAATATGGGAAAACGTGAATTTATGCAATATAAGTTTTTGGCTACATCAATTTTTATCGAAAACGAATAATTGTTAATAATTGAAATTTTGGCCAATTGTTTATATTATCATTTATCACAGTATCACACAAATTATATGTTTTTAAATATCGTGAAATATTGGTGGTTTACTTAAAAATGTTTTGAAAACAAATTCTTTTAATTACTTACAATTTTTACATAGGTACGTCTTAACATATATAATAAGGTACTATTAATTATATTTTTAATTAATTTAGAATAAAATCCAAAAGTGAATCTTATGGGCGTATGGAATTATTCACTAAACTGTTAACTTAAGACCAAAATTTGAGCCCTCAAGTATAAAAATATTTATAAAAGAGTTTCAGTAATGGATCTTACTTTCTTTTTTATGTATTTTATTAACATAAAATAAACTTATACCTTATAAAACCAATTGAAAACAAAATGTATACATTTAAATTAAAATGTACAGATTAACATACAAATTAAAAATTATAACTTTAATAAATTTTAAAATTTACGGATAAATATCTCTAAATATCACTAAAAGAGACAACATATTTTTTAATAATATCAATTAAATCCAATTCGTGTTAATTGCAATGCTAAGACGGTTTGGTATAAACCAATTGATATTTAGTATAATATATTACGTACCTACCTATTGCATTTAAACTGACTTACTTAAAACCCGTGCAGAATCTATATTTTAACAACGTGAACACCATGTACAATGTGCTTACTTTAAAACATTACAAATGTGAATGGACTCGGTAGACATATATAAAATCGTTCAGACGAAACTGCTTTAGGTATTTAAATACTGGTTATTGTCCTCATATAGCCATATGTATATCTCCCCTACATTGATACTCATGTAGACACACTAATAATAAATAATAATATTTGATAGTTAACATTTGTTCAAAAATGTATGGTTAGTAAAATAAAGTTCAATGTCTATACACTGTTTTATTCAATATGTCTGTATATTTAAGTTCCTGTTGCACAGTACAAACACATAACCAGCTATTTATTTGTATGCAAAATGTATATAAAAAATTAAAAACTCAAAATTTATAGTGTTATATAAATAATGCCTATAGTTGTAGTATTCAAGAAGCACTCTGCGAAGATCAAACTACCAAAATTATTGTTTTTTCTTCCAAATTTAATTAATATATTTTAAATGATTATCATTTGCAAATCGTAATAATTATAAATTGTTCGTTTAAACATTTGTTATTTGTACACTTTTGTAGGCTTATCAAGGTCCTTTCAGTAGAACCAAATACTCGTATATTTATGAAATAAAATAAAATAAATAATAACCTTATGGTACATTTATAATCTCATTTTATATTATTTATTAAATACTTAAGATAAATATAATAATAATATTTAAATCAGAACCGATAAATATCTTTGTATCAGAAATCTTGACATCTTTAATTTTCTATATAATATTAATTAACACGTTCACTGCTACGATGTTTATTAGTTACTAATTACTATACGTGTATTTTTATATACAATAACGTCAATAACCAGTAGGTTTTAACGTTGGGTCTAGGGCAATTTTCTGTAGACCACTTCGCCGCTAAAGGTTAACCTCCCTACAAAATATCTAATAAATAAAATAATTCTGATAATTTCTATCTAAAATAATTGTAATTCGTATTTTTTTATTATTACATGTACATAATATATCGTACGTGTTATTATGGAGTATTTATACTTCCCGAATTCCCTAAAAGTGATAAAATTTGTTCATAAAATTAAGAAAATATATTTATTGAGATAAAGTATTCATAGACGTAGTGCGAGTATAATAGATGAACAATAGAGCTTCAAACTTGGCTGCTTCGCTACGATGAACTAAATGTTCTCAATAATTATATCCTTGAGGCCTATGAAAACCACTCATAGGTAGGTAAATACGATATATACTGAATTATCCAAGAATTTTGACTATATAGACCACTCATTCCTTGTAAAGGTGCTTTAAAATCTTACTTTAAAGATTCTCTATCATTATAAGTCATTATATCAGGTCATATTTAGAAGATAAAACTCAGTAGATAAAAACTAACAACCACAAATTAGTGGTTACTGAGGTACCATCAGGTAATCTCCAAGATGGCTATTTAACATCATTTTTATTTACCTTATTCTTAAATGGTATGAAATAAATGTTGCCCAGCTACCACTTCTTTGTTTTTTCCGACGACTTTAAATTGCTCCTGAAAATGACTTCCATAAATTATTGCAATTTATTGTAATCTAGTTTAGACAATGTAGTTTTCCATTTAAATTCACTAGGACTACGTCTCACTGTGAAAAATGTTCAAACTATTTCGTTCACTAGATGTAAATCTTTTATCCGTTTTCAATACAAAATTTAAGATTCTATTCATGTTTTGGTGAAGAATGTGAAAGACCTGAGTATAATTTACACTCCTACACTAGATTTTCACTTACTACATTGAAACATCATCTTGTAGGGCTCTCAAAGTGCTAAGATTTGTCAAATAAATAGCGTTTAAATTTAAGATTGAGTATTCTATAAAATTACTTAATCACTTTTTAGTTCGATCTATTTTTGAATAAGAATCCGTGCTATAGAACTTTCATACAGCCTCAAGATCCCTTTAACTAAAGCGTGTTTAAAGATGTTCCTTATTTTCTTATTGATGATTTTGGAACTCATAACAGAGCAAAACTGGGTGACCTAAAATGTTAATATTGTCAGTTTCAAGTATAAAAGGGCAAAGGCGCAAAAAGACTTATATAGTATTTTGTACTTACGATAATACGAATAAGTAAATTAATAATACAACTCGTAAAAATGTAAACATAATACAGTAATATCATTGATTTAGTATATTTAATTAATGGTAATATTGATAAAATAAGTCAATAATTTTTCAAAATTTTCGTTTTTTCACAGATGTAGCTTAAGTTGGTGACTTTTTCTAAAGTGTTCCGATTATAGTATTTTTATTGAATTTAGTTCTGAAAAAGATCGTTCTGTCGAAGCAGTAATTAAAGGCATACTTAAGAATACGAGTATTCAATACTATAGATACGTTACACTGTTACAGTACCTAAATCCAGACATTTCGTCATGACCAACATGACCGATTCACTGCAGACCGTTTCTCCGTGGACTTTTTTTTACCACGAAAGGTTAACTTCCCCACAAAATATCAATGATACCAATAATATACGTACCT